CAGCCTTCGAAAAAAATGATAAACTTACTCCGCACTCGTTTCAGTGAGAAACAATGCCATCAGACCTCTCAATCGAAAGAGTTGAATACCGCCTTCAGATCAAGAAATACAGCTAGCATCGAGCTCGATGCGCCTGTGTTCCAGAACTTGGGTGGGGATGTTTCCCTGGTCTGTACACCCATGGTCAGAGCTGAAGCTTGCCTAATTTGCTACTCCTGAGTCCCACTCAGACATCTAATTATTATAGAACCTAGAGTCTTAAACACTATGTTCGTCAGGCTGATTCCCCTGTGGTTATCACTAGTGAACTCACTTTTCTTGAATGACGTGACAATCAGTGATCGAGACCAGTCAGACGAAATCCTCTCTGACTCCCATACACTAGTTAACACTTCAACTAATGTGACCAATACTTCTCCACCACCGTTCTCAAATACCCCTTGGTACTATTCCACCTGACCTTGCGGCTCTTCCTCGTTTCAGGTTGCCTATAGTTTTCTCGACTTCTGCCAGTGTCGGGGCTCCTATCTTGACGTTTCATCCAGGATCCCATTGGATAGTGGGCGAAGGAATAGTAGCTGGAAATAGCAGTTTTTATCAGGTCTCCCTTTGCTACTATGTGCTAAGCCTTAATGAGTAAGGTTCTATATGTCTAGCAGTTTTCCAGTTGCCACACTACTGGTTTGGAAAATTGAAAGATCTAACATAAAAAAACCCGTAGTATCGGTTAAATTATGGGCCTGCTTCCTTTACTGGTAAAACTGGATATTCCTGAAAACAAAAAGTCTTGTTTTATCGATAATTTAGAGTGGATACCTCGGGATGAAAGTTAGGATCCTAATACTGTACTATTCAGTTTTTAGGTACAATGTTATATTCCGTGCTGATTAATTAGGACCTCTATAGCACCCAAATACGAAAATCTAAACTACGTCACGTTATGAATAGTTGTCGGTAATCCCTGGTGTTTTAAAGCCTATCTGGAACTACAAAAAGAGGTAGCTGTCACCTTGATGTGGTGGTTGGGCTCGCATAACACAATGACCTGATGAGCTACACTGACTGGGACGCTTTCCCCCTCAAGGTATTACCATACAAGAAAGGTCTGTTGTAAGACAAAAGCAATTACCGTCATATCGTAAATTTTTACGCTAAAGTACTAGGGTGAAGTCATACTGCTGAGTAGATGGGGCGTAACAGCAGTAAGGTGTTTCCGTTGGATGACTAGCAATGCCATTCAGACCCAGTTTTCCCCATGAGATGCAGTTAGTACACGTCGGACTCAAAAAAGCGAATTCCCCTCTACCCGAAGCACACCGATGACGGCGATATGGGTTCTTAGTCGAATGATTACAATACAAACAAAACTTTTAAAGAGGCCGTGTGCAACCGACCTCAAACAGATGTCCCTTGGTGTCTGCGGTTTGCGCGACAGCGGCAACCAGTAGTTGGAAACTGTACGTGACATGACTGAGAATCGATCTCACTAGCACAGATGTACTGACACATTATCCTCATCTAGAGCGTCATACTGAATCCCAACATTCTCTGATTCCTGCTTGTTCTGTGCTAACGACTTTCTACTACTTTTGCATATTTTCATCGTTATCTCTTCCTATTTCATCTCGGTGCATTTCCACTTGATGTGTTGATATGAGTTGTGGTAACTTGGACCATCACGAAGTACTTCCAGATCCCACGTTGATATTATTTATCACCGTCTCTCTAGGCATACACGATCAGTTACATTCAGTATAAATGCATATTTTAAATAAATCAGTTCACAAGATATAGAATATTACTATAGAATTGAGAAATGTAGCTTAAATTCTAAGTGTTATGAAAAATCATTGCAGATTATTGGTCAACAGTGATGCCATCTTCCAAATCCTGTACCATATAAAGTAGTTTACTAAAGGTGTAGATGTGTTCCGGAAGTTTTCGTCAGAAAAATGTTTTTCAAGTGCGAAATCACTTTCCAATAGGCGAGGAAGTCGTTGTTTTTCTTTTACATAAATGAATACAGGCAGACGAGATCAACGTAGAACCTCACTAACAACTGCATCGGTCAAACTTACCACAACTCACAGTAACATGCAAAGAACAGGTGGAAGGAAAAAGACATATTAAAGTAGACAAAGGTGTGTGAAAGGAAGAGAATTTGAAAATAAAAATTAATGAAAACATTCAGACAAAACATGACGTCAGAGAGTGAGTACATCTGCGCCACTGTAACCGATTTTCAGCCACTTCACGAAGAGTCCTCAACCATTGATTCCTTCGTTTCGAGGACCCCAGATAGGTAGTCTGCATCCCTGCTACTCGGTTCAGACCAATAGTCAGGGACTTCATCAAGCGGCGCAACGTTCTGGTCTGGTTACCTTGAACCCTCTTCCAACCTAATCCAATTTTCCATAGTATGATACGTCGAGGAAGGTGATGGCTCGACATGCACAATACATATCCAAGACACCTCAGTTGATGAAGGTTCACAAACTCATAGATTGACTTGCCTTCTTTGCATATCACCCTTCGCCTAACTTCGACGTTCCTCACATAGTGGTCCAACCATACGTGAGCAATCAATGTTGCCAAGTCACCTGAGAGAAGCTTTAATAATTTGATATCTTCTACCTTCAACAGTCATGTCTCATAGCTGTATGAAGGCGAATAACGCAGCATAATCGTCTTTTAACAGGCAGTCGTGTGTCGCTTCAGTCGCACCTGGAGATGATGTAAGTTGGCAAATGCTGAACATACTCAGATATCCCCTCAACATGTTCAGAACACCCTGCATTTTGTTAGCGCCTTCGCCTAGCAGGATAGTATCGTCTGCTTACTCCAAATTAACCAGATGACCTTCAAGTAGTTGTCGTCAATTCTTATGACAAGTCTTGATAAGCCGCCACACAACTGTATTAGTTTGAGCAGACAGCTTTGATTGGCTTTATATATTTTCTTAGAACTTGTTTCGCAATCAGACACTGTCACAACACTTCACGGTAGGTAGTCGAACGCCGCCTTCGCGTTAACAAATATGGCTAGTGGTGACCACCGGTATGTCTGTCCGATAACCTGTCGAAAGGTGAAAATGTGATCGATGCAATCTAATCCACATCTGAAACCTTCCTGGTTCTATCTATCTTCTATTCTTCATTTCCACTTAGACGTCGTATAACTGTGGACCCCAGGATCCTGGACAAGAGATTAGTTAAGCTGACTCATCCACAGTTGTCACAAGAGGACATCTCTCCTTTATTATTGGATGGGGCTACCTCTGATTCCATTTTATCTAGTACCTTCGTTACTTCACTCAATAATTTCGTACCACCATCCTTAAAATATCCTGGTAACAAATCGCCACAACCTGCTGCTTGCATCGTTTCAGGTTAAAACAGCATTCTCAACCTCGATGAGAGTTGCAGGACCGACATCTACATCCTACACAGGTTCACGATGCATGTTCAACAAACAAAGCGTTACTCGGAGATAGTCGAACCATCCTTCAGTGTTTCTTAGACACCATATAGCCGCCTGTCCTCAAACGTTATTAGAATTCCATCCTGTTCGGTAATGGTCTCACTAAGTGTTGTTCTCCTCTTGCCAGTATCCTAAACAAACCTAAGTAGCTCCTGAGTGTTACTTAATATTGGCGTCTCACCCAACTTACTTGCTCTCGCTACCCACCACTGCTTGTGATCATTGCAAAGACTCCTGGTTAATTCACATTTCAGCTGGACTCGCTTCTGATAGTGGAATGAATCCTCTCGAACCAACCAGTTCGGATAACGCTGCGGAAATCTACTGGCTTTTGCTAACCTTTCCATATAGGTTACCTACCGCCTATACGCTGTTTCTACGGCAGACTCAGTATTACACTCGGCTTCCTCGTTCCAAACATTTCGCATTGTAGTCTGATTTGAGCTTCTCCGGTCCAACTATTTTATTTCAAACACGCTGTGACTTACATTAATATAAACCATATCTAGCGTCAACTTTTTACTCGGGGCATAGTATTCGCAATATTCAGCCAAACATGGATAATAATTTATACGAATTATTATTTTACGCCAGATTTAAAATGTTGGTGTCTTCTCGAAGTTATTTGATGCTAATATTCATAGCGTTCACGACATACTTCAAACAAGACAGAACTTATGTAGGTAGAGAAATATACGATGAGATACACATTCGATAACTTCTGAGAGTAATTAGCAAGAAACCTTTTTTATAAACAGTTTCATATACACCCATAGATGTAAAGGTTAAGGATTTGAAACTAAAGGTATCTTGATAGCATTCGTTTCACCGTTAATTAATATTTAAAAATATACTGTTACAAAGTTGCATTAGCATCCATTACCTCGGCTAACAGATGATACCAGCCTTAAAAGATTGATGCATGAATTCAGTACTTTTTAACCATATTTATATCACATCGTTGAAGAGTGTAATCATCTACTGAAGCTTTCACAACATACAGAAAAATAATTTCTGTACAAATAAGACAATGTTCAAACTTTATCTACCCAAAACCCACTCATCTATCCTATACCTCTACGTCCTACTATTTACAGTCTGATATTTATTCCATTTTATTTTGCTCGATATCCTTCATCATATTTCACTTTCAAAATTTACATAACTTTCTATTCGAACTTGCTACTTTTATAATCTATATTTTCTTATCCATGATTTTCACTACTTTTATAACACTATTAAATAATTTTTTTGGATTATACTGACAAGTTAAGATATTCCATTCAATTTCATGCTTGTAATAAGTTCTAGTGGACTAAATAAAACCATTGAAATAAATAATGTAGTCTAATCACTAAATTTATCAAAAATCCAGTGCTAAGGTATAACAGTGAATGAATGCTGAAATCTACCTATTTACCAGTTTGCATTACACTTAAATAGACTATTGAATGAATAGTGATAACTGTCAAAACACACTGACTAATGACTAAAATTAACTGATATCAGAAGACACATTATGTAATCATCAAAATGTACTGTAATCAGAGAAATAAAACACTAATTTACATATATAATATACATAATGGAAACAACTCAGCGATAAATTGGAAATAATGATTAATGCACTGAAAGTATTTGAAGTTCATTCATTATTTGACAAGTAATTTAAGCTTTGAATATCAGTTTTATTTGCTGACCATCATATCGCAGATGAAAACCAAACAGTAGAGACGTATTTTTACTGCAGAAACATACTCTGAAAGGAATTTTTAGCAACTTCTTGAAACCTTTAAACAACTTCCAGATAATTTTGACTATATGATGAACCTCGGAACCTTTCAAATAACACCTCATAACTATGCACCAAATAGATTGAAGTATAAGAAGACTATGATAAAAATAGCTGCTTTCCACAAACAGAGAACTGCTAGCCCTAGTCCCTTGAAAGACATCTCGACTAGACTCACGGACAAAAGAGACCCAAGTATAACACTAGTTTTATAACTTTTCAGCTACTTTCCAACAAACTTATCAATATTTTTTCTCCTTTCACAAAAAATGAGCTCACCAAATGCTCATAAAGAAAAAAAAATACTACAAAAGGTGAACACGATACTTAACACCAGTACCTACGATTGAAACAACTTTTGCCCATAGGGAGTGTTCACTCCAACTCTTAATAAGATCATTGAGTTTTGTATCATCATGATGTTTTCCTAGGATAAATCCAAGTACACAACCTCCACAACCTGCACCAGTAACTTTGGCAGGGATACCAATCTGCTTCAATTCGTCAATGATTTGATTAGAAACTGAATTTGACACTCCTAATTCATGAAGTAAATACTGATTTCTAATTACGTGAGAAGAAATAGATTGCTTGATTTCTTGTGTGACTGTTTTATCCAAAATTCCACTTACATCTTCTACAATAGTACCTATCTCTTGAAAAATAGAATTTATATAAGATTTATTATTCTTCCATAAATCAGAGACTTGCCGTACAGCAACAGATGTGCGACGAATAATGTTGGTATTGACTAACAGTAATGTTACATCACTAACGTTTGGAATATTTATTCTTTTGAAGACAGGAATTTGATCTTTCCAGAAAACAATAGTGCCTCCATGTGTGCATATTGTCGTATCCAAACCTGATGATGTACCATGAATAATGCATTCAGCATCTCTGGCCAAAGAAGATATTAATTCACGCTGAGTCTTATCCGCACTCCAAATTTGCTTAAGCGGGAAATTCCCAGTCAATAATAGAATGGTTGTAGCGGCAGCAACTGAAAATGCACCTGAAGATCCCATACCTGATCCCCTAGGAATATCTGACTGAACTTCAATTCGTAAGGAATGCCTCCCATTAATAAACGAACACAAGTGACTGTCACATTTCGAATCTTTTAGTTTCAAAGCACGAATAAAAAGATAAACTAACACACATGTACTAACATAGATCGGTGTGTGCTGAGAAGTATCATCATACGAACGGTCGAATATTTTCGACACTAATGTCCATGTATCCTCCAAAATAGATGATTTACACGATACAGAGTTGAAAATTTTGACTGGGATATAGATAGTATTTTCTGATAAATCTGTTAGATCTATAACAATTTCTTCACAAGCTTCATCTCCAATAGTAACCGTAAAGTAACAATGGAGTCCAATTGTAGTAGCGATAGCTGGGTAACCATATAAAACAGCATGCTCACCAAATAATATGGCTTTTGCAGGAGCAGATATGACAAACTTCTTCATAAGCTATTTAAATTATCGCTTTTCTGTAACAAAACAATTCCTTATTTGAGTAAACACCTAAAATAATAAATGGGAATTCAAAGTGTTTTATTAGCTTACCAAAAGTAATCAATAATGATGGCAGAAAACTTTCTCAAAACCATTAATGCCGCTTCACAAAGTCTGATGCGCTTGGTGAAACAAGAGCTGTTACTTTTGTTTCATTCTACGCAACAAAAACATCAAAATAACTACAAAAAAATTATAATTATTATAATTATAATTAAAAGATTGAATGCGTCTGCGCTACAATCGTGAAAACGAATAACAGTATAATTTTCCCCACTTTCCCCATTACTTCCCCTCATCCCCCATGCTTTCCCTATTTTCCCCGAAAATCCCCACTAGTGCGTGTTTTCCCCACGTTCCCCCGTTTTTCCCCTGTTCCTCATTTCCCACCCCCCCTGACATCCCCACGTTTTCCCCATGTCGGTCAGCTTAAGTAATCACTGTATAAATGTAGTCCCTGATAACCCTACAGACCAAGAATCATCTACCATATAACAATATTTTTACTCATAGCTTCAATTTAGGGGTGATCGATGGCAGTATCAAAAACATTCATCATTCGGTGATAACAACATAATAAAGAAAACGTGCTGTCTTAAATTCCTCGAAAAAAAAATTGACATCAATAATGCGCATACATCAAGAAGTCAATAACTTAGCTAGCTGCTGAATTTCAGGTGTGAATTGTATTACTTTTTGCAATCACCATATCTTTCCAGGTACTATTGCAATATACAACTTTGATGAGAAGTTATCAAAAAACCGCTCGTTACAGACTGTCTTTTATAAAATAGCTTCTTTTTTGTTCAGGGTTAAATAAAACGATTGATGACTAAAATGTTAATCATGTTTCAAAATTCCTGGTCCAACGACCAATTGTTTGATAAAACTACAGCAAAAATATGAAGTGTTACGACTATAAAATCGCTAGGTAGCAATCTAATATACGCCAACCCTCCAATAGATACACATATCCCGGTGTCATCGAAAGCTTCTACGTAACTTAAGCCAATTGGCGAGCAGCCATGAACCTAGGTTTCATGCTTTCTAGCACAGATCAGCGAGGAAAACGCTCAATTTAAGACGAAAACCTGAGCACTGTGATACAGCATAAACATATCAGACTATCTATTTAATACAGCACATAATGACACTGTATAATTTACTGACGTTTCGAGCAGAATTTATTGCTCATATTCATATCCAAGTAATCATACGACTTTAAAACTTCCTTTATAAAGTCCAGCAGTTTGTCTGTTCATTCTAATGGTAGTAAAATTTCCCATATATCTACAATGTGTGTTGAATCATTCCTGTTACGTGTGTTAGATGTGGATTCAACGAACAAAGATTCTGTGATCAATCTCTCACTCCACCTTGCTATGTTGGATTTTAGAATTGTCACCCTATTCCACCCTATAGTGTCATTATGGGTCAGTGCATACAGAGCGACAGCCGAGTTTCTCTCTAAACCACTTGTGTTTACTAGGGTCTACCTTTGTGTTTAGCTAAATTTTTCTATTCTGCTATTCCGACCGATCCAGATCGACTGCTTTCACCTACATACTTGACCTCACAATCATTTATGGTATCTGATAGATTAGGTCATTTTTCTTAATAGGCTCTACTGGATCTTTTAGCGTACAAAGTTTCTGTTACAATGCGAAGTTGTGAGAACGAACGGTAATAATTAACGATTGATAGTCGAGGGATGGGACGGTTCAACCCGAGTGATTTCTAAAGGGAAATCAGAAGACTGGTAATCAACTGAGTTTATAGTATCTCGGACAGAAAACGTTTATGAGTGAAAACGAACTTTATTTATAGTTTGCAGCGACCTCAAAATAAAAGGAGCAATTAGTACATTTAAAGAGATAGGAGCCAATCAGAACGTTAGCCAGTTACATTAAATGTGACCCATGTTTGGGGAAAAGACGGCGAAAAAACAGTCCAAATAAATAAAATTGGTAGTTATGGAATACAAGGGATACAGGCATCCCTAACATTTCCCCTTTTTAAAGAATTCAACAACGTATGCTTTTTGGGTTGACTTGTAGTGGCACTATTGGTCACCTCCGACGGACAGTCCATCGTCATGGGAGTAGGTCGACATTCTTAGGAGGTTTCGGTGTAACTGGACAGTCCACTGATGCCGGTGATAGTTTGAATATATCCAACGGCAAATCTAATGGTGGATTATTCGTTGGTTCTATTTTTCCTATCGTTTTTCGCCGCCACAATCGGTTGTGGTGACGCGTGCAGATTTCGTGACCCACTAGAAAAAAAAATACATTACCTTTCCACGTTGTCGGACAGTAGACCTATCAACCCATTTGCCATGTTCCAGTCGACAGTTACGTACAAAAAAGGCCGAACCTACCGGTAAGGCTCTTGCATTATTTTCTGTACTACAAGATAGTGTAAAAGTTATAGGCATCATAGCGTGGTGTGTTATGAGTAGACTACTCCTCGTCAGTGCTTCTGCCGGTGACTGCTGAATAGAAACATAGGGCACCCGTACCATCGGGTGGGGTGGAACCAGATTGAAGACATAATACGACGGAAGAAAATCAGAACGCTAGGGGGTTGTATGAAATGTGACCCATATAGGCATCCATAACAGTCTCTCTCTAAGCGAGTTTGTGGGTTTAAATCCCTCTCTAATCCCACCATTTTGAAGAATTCAACGTAAAATTTTTGATGGGCCTTTTTTATACGCCAATACTGCAGAGGAACTGAATTCCCTCTAAGGCATGTTGCAATCACCATTAATACTACCAATCCTTCTCTTATCAGTCCTCATAAACTTTTTGATAAGTCCCGGGGAGTAGTTATTAAGAAATAGTGTTTCTCTGTGTTTTATTTCTTTATTTAGGTTTTCTGACTTACTATTCAAACTCCTAGCCCGATTACTTAGACATTTTACCAACCCTACCTTGACAGATATAGAGTGAGATGATGTTCAACCTAAATATCTATTCGAGTGTGTTGGTTTTTGATAAACACTGGTATCTAGGCTTTCATCTTCTCTCCTCTTGATTACGCAATCCAACATAGATAATTCTCCTTCATTTTCTAGTTCATTAGTGAACTGGATTGCATCTACTGTCGAGTTGATGTGTGCCAAAAAAGCTCTGGATGTGTTCTGATTTCAAAACAGTAAATGTGTCATCTACATATTGCCACGATACTTTTGGGGTGGGTTGAAATGCTCCTAATGTTATTTGTTCCCAACCGTTCATAAATACATCTGCTACGGTCGGGGACATTAGAGATCCCATCGCAACTTCTGTTTGTTTAAACACTTGGTCTTGAAATCTGAAACTATAGAAGTTAAATATAATCTTGTCTCTAGCATGATTTTCTCAATAAACTTTAGTTCTATTACTGAGTCCATGGTCAGTTGTGAGTTTATTTCTGACCGCGTTAAGTGCCATATAAATTGGTATACCTGTATAGAGACTCGCCACATCAAAACTGACCATCTTTTCTCCCTCGTCCAATTCTATATTGTTTAGTCTGTGTTTCAATTCAAATCAAGTGGTGAGCCTAGATTTTGAGCGATTTCTAACAAAACACAGTATTGTAGCTAAATATAGGTAACTCATACGTTGGTATCTTTCTAAAGTCAACTAATGGCTTAATAGGATAACCTGTTTATGAACCTTAATGGTACGATAGATTCTACTACGATTATTAGTTTTAGGTATAAAACTAAACCACTGAAACTCACTCAAAGAGAGCCTCATTCAGTGTATTAGATGTTCTTCGTAACTGTGTTTGTAGGTTTTTAATTTCTTCATATGGTCCTATTTCGACATGCTCATTGACTTTTTTCAAGTAACCGGCCTTATCCACAACTACTGTCGAGTTGCGTTTGCCAGATTTGGCAATTATTATAATATTGTAATTTCTTAAATTTCTCAGCGCCATTTCTGGATTCATTAAGTTTCTCCTCCCTTTCTTTTGGTGTTTTAGTGACAGTGTGCATTGTGGACGTACCTGATCAGCAGCTGTCTTATCTATTGAGCTTAATGCTGCTTCTATGCTGAGTATAACATCTTCAGGTTTGAGTAGCAGCAGCAGTACCACTACGTGACGGTTTAAGTCACCATGACTTTTATCAACACATCAAAGAAAGCAGATGCCAAGAAAAAAGAAAAAGAAAGTAATGAAAGGTCGCGAAAAGAGAATAAGAAGAAGGGACGAAACAAAATAAAATTAAATATAACGATTAAGATAAGGATGCATTTGCTCCTTCAACGTTGATTCCCACCCCTATTGCTTATAGCTTCCAACTACCGATTTCGGTTATCTGTCAAGTTTACATTTCCCTGCTCGACCAAGATCCAGTCAAAGGCTTCATGCGCTGATGCCATGCTTTACACTAGCCACTTTCGACCATTTCCCAGCCTGAACCTACTTCAGCTAACATGACACGACGAGGTAGACAGTGACTAGGCATCTGTAACACATGTCCCCAGAAATCTCAGTTGATGGAAACTCACAACGTCCTCAACTGATTCTCCTCTCCCTCCTAAGACTCTACACCCAACTTCTGCGTTACTCACGTGGTGACGCCAAGAAACACGGCCTATACTACGAAGGCAACGATGGTTAAACACTAGAAACCTCTATCTTTAATGACTATGTTACATAGCCACACAGAAGAACATAGCAAACTGCATCACAGTACACTCAGACACTAACAAACAACCGGATATCAAATCGGCACTATAAATGGCGTAAGCTGACAAAGGCGAAACGAACCTTTTGTATCCCTGTGGGGATTTTGTCAATCACTAACTCGTAAGAGAGATTCGACCTTTCAAGGAAGTAAAATGGTCAGCATGGTTAACAACTTTACTGTCTTTCGCTTAGACGGAGCGCTAACGCAGATTAGTCCTGGAGCAATAATTTTCATTTGGGTGATGAGAAACACATTTCGAACATGCTCAAGTTGCCAGTCAAAGTGCACAGAAGACTTTACATTTCAACATTTACACTCAATAGAACTAAGTACACTATGTCTACTCAGGAGTCTGTTGTGACAAGGTCAATCTCTGTAGGGTTGGATGAGAGGCAGAGACCTCTATAAGCACATTTATTACAAGATCGAACCAAGAAAGGGAATTAACATCTCTGACCGACAATACTCGATATGCACAACTAACCTAATAGC